AAAAAAAAAAGAAAAAGAAAAAATATCTTCACTATATTTATTTTCCTGGATACATTTCCATTATGGCAAATGATACTGGTTTTCCATGTATGAGGGGGAACAAAGCTTGCTTTTGAACTACATTTGGTTTAAGCTGGAAAAGCCAAAGCAAATGTTAGGAAAGATATAAAGTCAGGATGGGTTGGGAGGCACGTAGATACCAGGGAATCTATGAAGGGAGCATATGAGTGCCTGGGGTTTGAGAGACATGGACCTGGCTTCATCATTCCTCTTCAGAGGTGGAAAACTGGGGGATCAGAGAGGGCAAGGGGTCTGCTCAAGGTAACACAGTAAGACCTGACAGAGCACCACTTGATACCAAGTCATGTTCCTCTCCTGCCTCTGAAGCGGAGTAGGGAGGGGGTGCAGCAGGCTGACCCAGGGAGGTCAAGGTGGGGACTAGGGAAAGCAGGGCATAAGAGGCCACCCACACTCTGGCCCCACCCTTCTCCAGCATCTCACTCTGCCCAGCCTAGACTCACCTCCACCATTTTTGTAGCAGAGGTATGGAAAACGCCAGACGTTGCCCAAGCCGACGAAGCCACCAGCCACGGAGAGCAGAAAGTCGATCTTGCTGGACCACTTCTCTCTCTGCGGGGGCTTTCCCTCAGCCTCATCCTCAGGCCGTGTGCCTGGGCTCTTCCCTGGCGATGGCTTCAGGATGTCCTTGTGGAAGTCTTTCAGACACTGCAGCTTCTCCTTGGTGGCCATCTCCTCCTTGTTGTCTATGGGGGACAAAGCAGAACCCAGAGCACGGTTGGTCAGGGACAGCCTGTGTGTTTTCAACACCTCTCCCTTCTCACCTACTGGCCAGGTGACAGGGAGCCTTGCCCAGGCCTGTGGCAGGGGGCATACCATCCCCTCATCTGACCACATCCTGAGTGATTCAGACCCCCTTGAGGCAATTGGGGACCTAATGATTCAGAAATTGACAGGTTCCATTCCTCGGGCAAATGCTGAACAGAAGCACCAGGGTGCCATGTTTGTCGTCCTCAAATGTCATACTTCACCCTGCACCTGCAGGCAGATACGTATGAAGCCAGCCCAACCCTGGCATCATCTCTACAAAATATGACTCACCCTAGGCAGTTCTAAGGCACCTTCCAAATAATAACTGCCTGAATTCTCTAGAAATGAACAGATAACTTTTTCCAAATTTCGGATTTGCGTAGAAAAATGACAGCCCCCATTTCACTCATGCTTCAGCACAGTGCCTGGTGCATGGGAGGTGCCTGTTCCTGTTTAAAGAATGGATAAACATAAAACAAAAGAGGAACAGGGTTTCAGGATGGAACGAAAACAATATTTGAAATGGGGTGTCCATCAAAGTATGGAAAATGGATGTTTGTGAATTATAGTCACAATTCATTAACCAATCCCACTTCTGCAGCATAAAAAATAAGGGATTTGCACTAGTGCGGATTATGGGAGAAAGCCAGTTAATCTCCATTTGTCCCCTCCTCTCCATCCGTTCTCTGGCTGGCTCTGACCCGTGTCATCCAGGCTCCCTTGTCCTCTGACTCCCTGTTGGGCTTGGCAATGGGAGGTCCCAAAGGAGGTCAAATTCCTAAACCCCCAGAAGCTGTTCATGGTCACTCTCAGCCTACCCCAGCTTGGCCCCCGCTCTAGAGGACATCTGCCACCAGCAAGGCCGGAGCCCCTTCTTTCTGTACTTCCTCAGGCCCCTGAGTCTTCACGCTCCCTGGTGGCTCGGCCTTGAGGATAAGAGCATCATGAGCTCCAGCCAGACGGAGAGGGAGCCTTTGAGGGTTCACCTCCATGGGATAGAGGGTCATGAGAAGACAGATGAGCTGGGGAACCACCGCTAGTGGGCCTACCCGCCCCTCTCTGAGCCTGTTTCTTCATCTGCAGAACGAAAAGGACGATGGCTAAGATGACTGACTCAGAGCCAAGTAGCCTGGGGCACAACCTGTCTTCATGATCCAAATTGGTGGCCAACACTGAAATATCCGATTTCAGAGATTTCTAGGTTCCGTTGAAAAACTGGAAGGTTGGTGTGCCATGTTTGGCTCACACTCTTTTCGGTGGCCAGCAGATGGACCAGATGTGGCCCTGTCACATGGGAACACCCAGTCCAGCTTGCCGTCCAGTTCACAGACCATCTCTAGCTTGGCACCCTGAAAATGTCTTATTCATGTCCTTGCTTCCTTGTTAATGGTCTCCTCCTTGACCGGAGTAGCACCTCCATGGGGACAAGGACCTATCTTGTCCACTGCTATGTGCCCAGAGCATGGTGCACAATAGGTTGTGAGACAAGAATTGTTGGGTAGATGGTTCCGAGAGTGGGATCTGCAAACAGCCCACCAGTGCTAAGGGCAAACCTCGGCCCGGCCACTTCCCAACCATAGGACTCAGTGTGTCCCTCGGCCTGCACTGCCTGGCCCAGAAGACGATTCAAGGCAGAGTAAGGTGAGGGCTGCCTGAGGACCTGGGGTGTGGAGGGGACGTGTTGGCCTGGCCCCAGCAGCCAGGCCCACAGGGGCTGTGCTCTGAAGAGCAGAGGCACAAAGGCAACAGAATCCCTGTTTCCCCCACGCCTCCTTCCTCTCCCTGGCTCGGGGTGGGGGACCCCGATTGTTTCCCTATCTGGTGGTAAGCAGACCAAGAAAAGGCTTCCTGGAGCCACCGGGCGGCTCACTGAGCCCTTCCTCTGTCTCCCTGAGTGCAGACTGGTGGCGGCATCCGCATGGCCTTTCTTTGCCCTGCTCCCTCGGGGCGACGCGGGGGTTCAGCCGGGCGTATGGCTACTGTAAAAATAGCCTGAGCAGCCAGCATTGTTCCAGCGTTAATTTGTGCAACCCCCGATGGTTATCTGAGCAGCCCATTGTGGGCCGGCTGGATGGGAGCATAATTGGAGGATGTGGGACTCAACTCCCTCCTAGTGAAGATGTTTTTCAGGGAATGACCCCTGAGCCTCCTCACGGACAAGGGTTGGTTCCGCCCTCTCGACCTCTCCTTGGATCTCAGAGCTAGAAGGCACTTACTTCTCAGAGCTGGAAGGTCAGCCAGACAGGGCGAGGTGGCCAGCTTTTGCTCACATAGGCAGCTGGGACTGGCCAAAGCTCTTCCCCACCAGGAGCTGGGGTCTGCTTCCCTGTGGCTACCATAAGAGTCCTGGCTCTGCCCTCTGGGCCCCCAGACCCACTTGCCACACTGGCACTCAGAGAACCCTCTAGAAACACGGGGGAAGAGGGATAGCAACAAATTCCAAGACACCCCCCCTCCCCAACCCCTCTGCTCCAGGCTCTGGTTTCCTATAAGGTGAGGCCTCTAGCCCTCTCCCTACACTCAGGACCCCATCTTCTAGATCACCATGGCCAAGCCAGGACCGGGGTAGGGCCTGAATGGGGCAGAGCCAGGTCCTGCCATGTGCCTGGTGTGGTGGGGGTCTCCCTGATTCTCATTCCTGGGGTGCATCCAGCGATGCGTCCCTCCATCACCATCACCTGTCCCACCTGTGCTACTGCAATCACAAGCCTATCTGCCCTTCGAGAACACAGAGCCAGCAGCCATGCCTCTGGCTTCCTCAGTCCAAGCCATCCTCTATGGTGTCACCCAATGCTCACCCACACCTGGATGAGGCCACACCCAGGTTGTGCAAGCACCCCAATCTCCCTCTCAGGGGGCTCATTCCAAGCCCCTCTGGGGTGTCTGACCAGCCCTGCGCCTATAGAAGCCCACGCAGCAAGAGGGTGGATTCTGCCTCCCTTACATTCCTGGCATCCACCCACGTCTCTCTATCACCATGGCAACCACTGTGCTCCAGGCCCCGACAGCCCTCGCACCGGCATCAGAGGCAGCCTCCTCACAGGCCTGCCTGCTGCTACTCTGCCCACCCACGTCCCCAATCTATTCTCAACATGGCAGCTAAAGGCAATTTATAAAGCATACTCAGCTCATAATGCCCTCCCACCTAACTTTCCATCACTCCTAGAAGAAAACGCCAGCTCCTCCCCACAGCCTACTAAGGTCTCCAATACAGGCTCCTTCTAGGGACACTGGCCCCACAGAACTGCTTTAGCTCGTCCCCTCCTCAGGTTCAGGCTCCCTGCGTGGCTGCTCTAGGCCCTCTGGTAGCAGCCTGGCCCCTGCAGGAATCAAAGCGTGAGCACTCGCCTAGGGGCTGGCAGCTACTTCTTGGCTGGGGAACCTCGGGCAAGTTACTCAACCTCTCTGATCCTCAGTGTCCTCATCTGTAAAATGGGAATAATCATGCCCACCTCATAGGGATGCTGTGAGGATTGAATGAGAGGTGCACGGAAAGTGCTTAGAACAGTATTTGGCACGTGGCAAATACTCCTTAAATAGTAGCTGCTAGTATTACTGTTATTGCTGCTATAATTATTATCGGGTCCAATCTGACCTTGGGGTATATAAGGCTTAGTCCTACTCAGGGTGAAATCAGCAAGGCCCAGAGAAGCCAAGTGACACTCCCAAGGTCATGAAGCTGGTAGGGACAGTGATCATGACGTTGCCCGAATTCTTGGCTCTGCTTCTGCGGTCCCTCTGCCAGCCCAGCCAGATCTCAGACGACACTTGATGAGGCCTACGAATTCTCACCCGTCGCCCTCAACAGCCCGCCCCGTGGTGGTTCAGTCAGCACTGAGTAACGAGCTCCCTCCACAGGCGTCGCAGCAGCCCCACTGCCTTGCTGCTGGCCTCTGCCGAGAGCTGTTTTCCTTGGCGCTGGGCCCGGGGCTATTTTGTAGCGACGGTGATACATAATTCCCCATTTTAAGAGCTTCCTCTTTGGTTATTACAGCTACAGGTGATTAGAATCGGCTCTGAAACAGAGGCTGCAGGACGAAAGCTCCCTCCTTGCCCAGCTGAAACTCCCCTTGTCTCTGTTCCAGGGGCTGAGGCCAGGGCTGGCTGTGCCTGAAGGCTGACGTGCAGATCACTTGGTCAGCTTTGGCACGTACGCAGGCAGATTCAACCTGGTGCCAGCGACACCGTGGACTTAGAAGATGTTCCTTTGTGCCCCCCAAATGAAAACTACCAGTACTTACTCTGTGCTGAGCTGTCTGTAAAGAGTTTCTATTCACTCCTCCAAGACCTTTACTGCAGAGGGACTTCCAGTTTTACAGTCAGGGAAGTTGAGGCTCACGCAGGGAAGACTGGAGCCAGAATTCCCGCCTTGGTCCACCCATGGCCTCAGGCAATGGAGCAAACTTAGAGAGGAGGAGGCCTCTGCACTGTTTGCAGATGGGGACACAGAGTCCAGAGGGGAAAGGACTGCAGAGGTACAGACAGCAGTGCAGGGTTGGGGACTGGGCATCCTGCCTGCCTCCTGTGCCCTCCCACCCCCTCTGGCCCCAGGTGCCCATAGCCCAGCCATCTGAGCCTTGAATTGGGTTGTAGATGCTGTTGCGGCTGCCTTCCCTGGCATCTGCCACCTCAGTCCAAGGCTTTGGGGAAACCAGGCCCTTGGCTCTTTTTCCAGGACAAGCTGCCCAGGTGCTAGGGGGGTTCTCTACCTCAGCCTCCCCTGCAGAACCTGATCCTTCTCGAGTAAACAATCAGCTTCCCACATAGTAATCTAGTAGAGAACAAGGACTTAAATCTTTCATTGTCACTGACTTAACCACTCAGGAGCTTCTACCATGTTTTTTAATAAGGGGCAGGTGCTTTTTCTGTTTTCTCTTTGGGCACTGACTGCGTGCACATTTATTTAGCACTGTGCTAAGGCTTTACGGGCATTTTCTTAGCCCCTCCATGGTGGTGTTACCATCTCTGTTTGGCTCATGAGACACAACAAGGTGAAGTCGCTTGCCCAGGGTCACACAGCAAGTAAAAAGCCACTGCAGCTTCAGATGGCTCCCAGGTCTGTTTTGGTCTCTAAATTCCACGTTCTCAACCACATGGCTGTTTGGGATCACTTACTTTAGCAAGGTCACAAAGTGAAATCAGGTCTGGCGCCTTTAAGCCAACTTCAAGCCACTGGACTGGGCTGACAAATTAGGGAAGTAGGAGAGGGCAAACGGGAAGTGAGGAGCCATGTGACAGAGATGGGGCAGGGCTTGGGGAACCTAACCGTCAGTACCCAGGGCCACAGGACGAGCTGTGGGGGCTGATGAAACTACATGCACGAGGGCAGGACAGACGGTGCTAAGGACCGGAGGCTTCCTCTAGCAAACAGGGAGGGTCTCCCAGGTGTCTCTGCTAGATTTGAAGGGGCTCCTGTGGGCAGCGTCTCCACAGATTCCAGGCAAGGGACAGACTGAGTGAGAAAGTGGTCTGGGGTCCATTCGTAATGTTTGCCACCCGGCATGCTCCTTCCATTAAGACCCTGGCCTAGGAAGCTATTAACAATTAAGCACTACAAAAAGCCAGTTGCGTTAAGAGCACTATTTCACCCTCTCCCTAGGGTAGCTGTTGTTTGAAAAGAAAGTAGAAATTAATCAAAGAGAGGTTTTTGGGTTTTTTTTTCTTTTTCTTAAAAAGTACACTTTTAAAAGATTTAATCATTTGATTGCGTCATGTGGTCTGTATCCTTCAATCTTGTTTATCTATTCCTAACTCAGGCTAACTCACATGTGACAAGCTCAAAGGCCTCAAAGCTCAAAGGCCTCCAGGGGCCTGGCAGGCAAAGGACAGGAGTACGGTAGGGAGGCCACAGAGAGGAGTAGGGACTGTGGCAAAAGGAAGCCCAGGTTCCAGCCACTGGCAGCTCTCAGCTCCAGCTACTGGGACTGGGACCCACAGGGCCAGATCCTCCAATTTCTCAAGACAGGCTGAAATCTGAGATGTATGTACATACACATTTTCCAATTTCTAAAACACCAATTTCTAAAGCTCTCAGCTCCAGCTACTGGGACTGGGACCCACAGGGCCAGATCCTCCAATTTCTCAAGACAGGCTGAAATCTGAGATGTATGTACATACACATTTTCCAATTTCTAAAACACTATATGGGCCAAATACAAACACAGTTTGCCCCCTTTGGTCATATCACTGCCCCAGTTCACCCAAGGTGGCCACAGCCAAGGGCAGGACGGGCTCGCCTGGATATGCTGACCAGCCTAGTCTCGCAGGCCCAATGGCTCACCCAGTGAGGTCATCCAGGAAACCTGGCATTGTTTTGCCCAGAACAAAGCCGAAACAATGAGCAACAATATTCTGGTCCTAGTGAAAGTGAATTCTGTTTGGGGAATTGTTTTCAGCAAGACATCTCTGGGGACAGGGCTTGTTATCTACCTGGGATTCAATGCCTGTAGGCAAGGTCCTCCGCTTCCCTGATCAAACTGCAACCCACTATGCCACAAAAGCTCAGGTCTACCCTCAGAGACACCCTGCTTCTGCTGAGATCACCTGCCTGGCTCAGATTCAGCCATCAACCCTCAGATGTGTTTACTTCTCCCCAAGTCTCACGGAGCCTCCCCTTTCACAGACCAGGAAACTGAGGCTCACAGAGGAGGAGGATCTGGCCCAGGTCACACAGCTACGAGGTGGTGTACTAGGATTTGCACCCAGATCCTGACTCTACACCACCTGAGGGGACCCACCAGAGCAGGTCATACTTCTTGGTCTGCAGTTTGCAAAGGAAAAAGTGGGTGAAAGCAGACAGGTTTTGCAAAGAGCTGGCCTCTGGAACAATGCCAGTGGAGGGGCGGGGGACAGGATATGGGCCCAATGTACAGCTACTTTGTCCTCGTCCCCTCACAAAAACATTTGCAGGTAAAAGGTCTGGAGACTGGGTCCAAATATTTTTCTTATCTCCTTGGAGGTGGCAGGCTCTGACCCAAAGCCCAGGCAGGCAGCAGAGACGAAATAAAAAGGAGCACATGAAAACTACGGTGGGGGAGGGGGAGGAAGGCAGAAGGCAGCTCCCCTGTGGCAGGCTGGGCCTGGGTAAGGGTGGAGGGGTGGGGTCCAGATGGTCAGGCGCTCCCCACCCAGGTGAAGGCGAGCTGGGCACATGCCATGTCCAAAACAGAGGGGCCCAGGCACTAGCGGAGCAGGCCGTGCAGTCAGGGGAAAGGGCAGTGGACAAGAAGTCAGAAAGCTGGGTCTAGTTTGATTCCGCTGGGTCACGCAGGCCAAGTAGTTCCCCTTTGCATCTTGGATGTCCAGGGACAAAACAGAGCAAGGGTAGCTTTGGCAAGCAGTGGCTGCCGGATAAACATTTACTGACAACCTACCCTACTAAGGTGCCAGGCATGGCTCCAGGAACTGGGGACACAGACGTGAGCCCTGAGGAGCTGACATTCCAGAAGGAGAGACGGATACTAAACACACACATGAATTAATAGTTATGACTGGGGCTAGCACGCAAAAGACAACCAAACAAAATGAGGTGTAATTGACAAGGGTGCAGGGAGTCAGAGAGGCCCCTCTGAGGACATGATTTTTCATAATGGCAGATACTCACTGAGGGCTGACTCTGGGCAGGCCTCACGCTAAGACCTTTCAGGCACCAACTCATTTATTCCTCTCAGCAGCCTGAATAGAGGAGTGAGGCCCAGAGAAGTGAAGCCACTGGCCCAAAAGTCACACAGCTGGGATTTGTTTGAACCCAGATGGATCAGCTCCAGGGCCTGCTCCAGGGTCCGGGCTTTTAACCACACTAAAGCTGAGATCTGCCAGGCAAACATCTGAGAAAAAGGTGTTCTCAGAGCAGGGAACAGCATGTACAAAGAGAGCCATACTGGACATGGTAAAGGAACAGAGAAGGCCAGTATGGGACACAGAGCAAGGCAGGACAGGGCACAGGGTGACCTGGAGAGGAGACGGGGCCTGGAGGCCAGGGTTAGAACCTGGATTTATCCTGAGGGTGGTGGGAGCCCAAGAGCTTTGTGCTGCCCCATTGAAGGCTCAGCCCATTCGGCTAAAAGCCCCCGCTTATACCCGACCACCTGGCCAACCCCTCCCACTCGGGGAGGGGATTTGAGGGCCCATGGTGGGCTTTTCCCTGTAAGTAGTTGCTATTGGGGTTTTTCTAGTAGGGGCCTGTAGAGCCTGAGTCCTTACCCCCGACATGCAGGAGCAGCCCAGCCTCCTCCTCATGAGCCGAAGGCAGATGCACAGAGGGACCAGCCAAGGATGGGTGGCCAGAACTCCTTCCCCTCGGCCAAGGGCCACAACACTGGTGACACAGAGAAGAACATGTTCTTGTGCATCAAGTCTAGACCCCTCACCTCTCCATGGGTGAGGCCCATGGGTTTTGAAAGAACAGGGTCGGCCTTTGATGCTATTCTATCTCAGACGAGTCACTTCCCCACACTGAGCAGGCCCCTTACCTGGAGCTGGTCAGGAGGAAAAGCCCCAACTGTCCCACGTTGGCTGAGCACCTGCTGCACGGCTGGCCCAGGCCCACTTCAGGGGACATGGGGTCACCTTCATGCCCAAGGTACTAATGTCCAAAGATGGGGAGAGGGGATTGTTTTATCATAGTAACACAGAAATTATCCCACAAGTTCAGAAGGAAGACAGGAGCATGCATCTGGGTCAGGGGGGAAGGCGAGAGGCTTCAAGGAACAGGTCTCATGATAACCCTCAGGCTGGGCCCCAGAAAAAGGAGGGGGTCCAGGAACAGTAGAACCTCTCGATCCTGTCTAAAGGGGCTTGGACCCCAAATGCCACTTAGCAGATTTCCAACATGCGCCGCCATAAACAAAGCTTAGCTAAAGGAGAGGATTAGGGAGTCGGAAGAGGGCCGCCATGATGTCTACTGGGTACTCAGGGGCCTGTTTTTAGGCACAGGGCGGTGAGTCAGCAGGCAACGGCCTCTAGGCACTGACTCACCAGCCACAAGCCTGTCACTCTTCCCCACCCCTCAGCCTGGTTTTGCCGGAAGTGGGGGTGGGTGGGGTGGGGTCAACCATGATCCTGAGGCAGGCTCTGCAGAAGCCAGGATTATTTCTGGAGGCCACAAGAAAAAAAAAAGAGACATGAGAAAAAAGAAAAGCTCGGTTTCCATTTCCTCACACTTCCCCTTTTAAGCTGTAAGAACCCTAAACCACTCTCCTCTCACTGGCTATTCAAAGCCAACAGAGAGCAGCCACTCCTTCACGCTATAGAAACTGGAAGGAGGCAGGCCCTGGGTGACAAGGCCCGATAATGACATGCCTGTGGCCCAATGCCTGCTCAGAGCCCAACCACTCCCAATTCTGTCACCAGAGCTCTGCTGGCAAGTCACAGCTCCATGGAAACCAGCCAGGGCACTCTGCTGTAGGGCCTTGAGAAAGTCACCTTTCTCAGCCTCAGTGTTCCCCTCTGTAAGGTGGGCATAAAAATCCCATCTACAGTGTGTGCAAACTCCTAGCTCAATAAATGTTTGTAAACAAGCTTCCCGTTCTCATGGTTCCTCTTTTAAACATGTTTCTCCTCAGCAAGGAAGAACCTTTGTCTTCCTTCTTAGCTCCACCCTTACCTCGCCTCACTTAGAAATTTAGCTCAAGGAGAGATTGGTGCCTGCAGAATGAAACAGGCTGGAATTTAGCAAGACAGATGTGGTGATCGACTAGCAATGTCTGCCACCAGAGCCCACGTTTCAGAGCAAAGTGGCTTGTTGTGTGGACTCTTATCTGGAAGCAAGTTTCAGGTGTCCTCCACCATCTGGAGCCCACCCAAGATTCCCAGGGAATACTAAACCATACCTCAGCGCATGCTTTTCCCTTAGCCTGGCAATACCCCAGGACAAAGGAACTCACAGGCAATATCCCAGAACAAAGGCCCCAGTGCCATGTCTGGGCTCCGTGGTCCACACCACACTCCCCAGACCCTATTGTAATTGTCTGCTTGCTCCTCTGTTGCTGAGGGCCTGCTTCCTGACAGGGCCTGGCACTGTGACTATTTGTCAGATGGAACATTTAGGGCTCAGGACTCTGACGATACTCAATAGGAGTAAATATCTCCTACCGTGTAGCTGTGAGGGCTCCTCAGTTAGGAGGACAGTGCAATGGCAGCCGTGTAGGACACAGACAGGGCTGTGGGCAGAGGAAGTATGGGCCCTACATGACTTCTGCTAGAGAGAGGGGATGTGTTCCCAGCACCTGAGCATAGTTCCCCGCAAATGGCCATAACTCTACAAAGATCGGCCTTTTTCTTTTGACAGATGAAACCCTAAGCTTTAGGAAATCAATATTAATTAAACAACATGTTCCGTGACTATCCTCCAAAAATGACTGAAGTGAATTCTCCCCGGTCCCTAAAGGTTTGCAAAGTGCTAGGGGATGCTGCTGGATCCTGCACAAAAACCAAAAGCTCAGAATGGGTCCTTAGAGGTCTCGGCACATGCAAATGCAAGCCCACTTTGCAGATGAGGAAACCGTGGCCAGCACCCACAGCAGAACAACCTGAGACACCAGCCTCTTTCAACAGATGGATCATCAGAGCAGCAGGAACTCGTTTCACAGAAGGGAAACTGAGGCCGGAAGGAGGTGGTGAAGGGCGGGGATACTCCTGACACCCCCAAAACAGTGGAATACAGTGGGTGCCAGAGGCTGAAAGTAAAGCTCTTATTCCAAACCTGGGTGGACCCAATTCCTATCTAATTCCATCCAGTTGATGGACGCAGGCGCAGCAGCCATGGTGACTATCAAGACTACAAGATGGTGTCTAATAGAAGCTACTGCTCGACTAGAAGAACAACTCAGCATTAAAATGCACACCAGGGGTCAGGGGTGGCCTCGAGGGAGGAGAGGCATTTCTCAACTGTGGTCTTCCTATGTGTGCAGACCATCCCCCAAGGCGACCCCCAGACAGCCTCTATCTCCCTCAGCCTCTCATTGCAATTCCGCTTACGCTTCGATAGTGTCTGCCAAGAGCACGGTGTTGGGGATATGGCACTGCCTGCTTATGGCCTGTCACTCATGCAGCATCACCAAACAAGGCCACGCCAAACACTGGAAACTCCGTGGAAGTGTGTGCCCTCAACTCCGCCAAGCTTGTTTCTCGTAATCCCCACTCCCTGCCAGGTCGCCCTCAGCTCCAGAACTAACGATGGCTCCCAGCTGCTTGGAGAATCTCTAAACATTCCCACCTGGAAGCCAAGGCTCATTACACTTGTCTGCCTCTGTCCTCAGTCTCTGCCACTTTATTTCTCTTCTTTTCGTGTATGAGTCCCAGGGCCTCCTCGTTCTCTCCAGCCTTACCCCATTCAACCCGATGCTTTGTTTGTGGGTTCTTTTATGTTTAAGTGGATCCCACCCTCCTTGAAGACCTGGCCCAAGTGTTGCCTCCTCCAGGAAGCCCTCCCTCCCCACCCCTCTGATCTCAATCCACTGGAGCCCAACTGGCTCCTTCTCCATCATCCTACTATTCACCAGACACTGGGCTCATGCTCAGAATTGTGCAACTCTGGACAAAGTTCAAAGTTCTCCTTGGAAAGCCCTAGTTTCTTCATCTCTAAAATGGGCCCCATAATCTGTAAAACTGTCACTTGCTGAAGTTTCTGCTCTTGGGAAGATCTGGTAGATGACCAAGTTCCTCACATGTACCTAACATCAGCGTCTCTTGGGACTCGGGCTGAAATGCAGGCGCCTGAGCCCACTCCAGACCTACGGATTCTGAACCTTCAAGGCTGTTAAGCCTGCCTCCCAAGTGAATCTTAGAATCAGATGGGGCTGGGAACAGTTGTGCCTACTGGTAAAACGTAAAACAAAACCAACCAATGAAAAAGACTATTGGGAAGGCCGGTTAGCTGTTGGTTAGCGCACAGGCTCATAACACCAAGGTTGCCAGTTCAATCCCCACATGGACCACTGAGCTGCGCCCTCCACAACTAGATTGAAACAACTACTTGAATTGGAGCTGATAGGTCCTGGAAAAACACACTGTTCCTCAATTAAAAAAAAAAAAAAGACTATTACTGGCTGACAATAATGCACATGAGCAGGCATGTGTGCGCGCACGTGTGTACACGTGAACAGTCTCCCCGGCCAGGCTTTGAACATCTGTGGACTGGGCCCGGCTGGGTTTCACTTCCGCCAGCCGTAGTAAGTCCAGGGCCTGCCCCAACAGCCATTTGCGCAGACTGGATAGTTTGTCATTGGTCCTCCTACTCCCTATTGCTGATGTTCCTTATAGTTTCCCTGGAGGTGGGCACTTTTGTCCCCAGTTTACAGGTAAGGGAACTGAGGCTCAGAGGAGACAGGACCTGGCCCAAGGTTACACAGTGAGTGATGGACCCAGAATTTGAACCCAGGTCAAGGCCAACACTCCTTTTATCTGCTTGATCAGGTAAAAAGGAGTTTGAGAAATACAGGTGAGGGCTAACAGGTAGACTACCTGGGGCTCTGGGCAGGGAGCTGAGTGGAGTATGTGGGATTGGAGGGGGTGGCAAGCATCAGGCACACGGAGGAGGCCTGGACCTGGCTCTAAAGCCTGGCGAGGTGCAAGTCCAGCCGAGCAGACCTCAGGCAGAGTCTCCAAAGACAGGAATGAGGCACAGGGGCTTATCGCCTGGGACTTGGGGACCTCCCTGGCTGTCACCCCAGAAAGGGGGTCACTTTTTTCCTAAAGTAGAGGCAGCACGTAGGGCCTTCCCCAAAAGGATAAAACACCTGTCGCTAAAATGCCAGTTCCCCAAGCACAAGGAACAGCATGAAAGGCCCCAGGAGGCCCTGGTGAGGCCCCAGCTCTGCCAGTGACCACTAATTGATCAAGACAAGGCCTGCCCCTCTCTGAGCTATGCTTTAGACAAGCTGACCAAGACACCCCAACAACCTGGAGGTGCACAGGTACACACATACCCACCTTTGTGCAAAGACAATCTCTCCAGAAGAAAATGCACACCATAAATAAATAAACCTCTCTGTGCTCAGTTTCCTCAAATATAGAATGGGGTTAGGAATAGTACCTACCTCTGAGGGTTGTTGAGATTAAATGAACTTATATGTGTAGACCGCTTAGAATAGCACCTGGACAAAGTGCCAGCTATCAGGATAATGGCCAAATTCACACACTCTCCCTGAGACCAGTGACAGCCTGCACTCACAGCCAAGGCCCTGCTGGGCAATGCCAGGCCTGCTGGGCACCTCACAGATCCTCTCACATAGCCAGGACCAGGGTTCAAACGCAGGTCAGCCATCTCTGAGACGAGGGCCGTAGCCCTAACACACCCCTGCCTCCTCCCAACTGACCCTTCCATTCTCCCCCCATTCTAGCTTCCTCTCCTCTTCCACAGCGGGTGGGACTAGGGGACCCTGGGGTTCCCGCCAGTATATTCCTGACGGCGGGATGATGTGGCTGCCATGGGCTGGTGGCTTCCTGGAGATCTGAGCATGAATGTGGAAACCTCCTGTCATTCCCCCTACATAGCCTTGGGGTGCCGTTAGAAGAGCATCTCAGGCAGCTGCCTGTGGAAGGGCAGAAGGCGGGAGGGGGGCAAGCAGCCAGACCAGGGCCTGC